AACTGTCGCTGGACGTCCTCATGCTCTGCATGAGGACATCCAGCATTAGCAATTTCCTCATAGGAAAGCACTGATCCAAAGTTTTCCTATAGGGAGACCTAATGCGCCCGTGGCACTCGCTGTGCATACGCATTAGCGCATCCTTTGTAGAGTGACGTCGGAGGAGGCGGAGCCCCAACCCAGCACCGAGTAACATTGATGCTGGGAACAGGTAAGTACATAAATGGGTTTCAACCCTTTATTCACTGACACAGGGGACATGAGGGTGGGGGGAGGCAGGGGGAGCTATACTGTTAGGAATACAGCTTATAAAGATCTACCAGGGGCCTACTAGGGCTATCTGGAGGCAATTATTCTGAGCGGTTTTACAGTTAATTTAAACATTTGATTAATTCTAGTGTAAGCATACTTTTCAATTTCATGTGGCTGGATATAAATCTCTGTGTATACACTTTATGCAAATTCTGATATTCTAATGTAATTAACTTCTAATAGGAACTATTGTTCATTATATTCATTATATTCAAATGCTTTAATATCTTTGTAATTATTGCAACAATCTTGTCAGTAGCATGAGTCAAATTTGACTCAACTCCAAATATACATACAGCCACTATGTGCAAACAGCTTGACATTTCAATTAGTGAAATTTGCATATAATTTGATTTTATTATTTATCTTCTATTATTATTATAGCTGTATATGTGTCTGTGGTTATTGAATGGAAAGGAACTCATAATCTCAAGCAAGTAAATTCCTCAAAAAAATAACTGATTGAAACATTAAGAAGGAATATATTGTATCATTCCATGTTACTTGGAGACACATACTCCTGTGAGATGTGAAACAGTAAATGAGCTGATCCGAGCCCCAGGTCATCGGTATGTGGGCAAAAGATTTATTGGGGTATACATGGTAAGTAATGTGTTTGCTCCTGAATAGCTTATTGAACAGAACTTTGCGATTCACAAAAAAAATAAAACAGATACAAAAAAAAAATATTTAATAACGTAAACTGGGATTTCAATTGAAATGGCACAAACATTGTCTCACAAACCCTCTCCACAGGATACCCTGGCTTCACAAAAACTCTAGATTACCACTAGAGAGGTCACCCAATTATCTCACATCCACTTTCCTTTTAGAATAACACTGTTCATAAATATGACCTTATAATCCATTCCTCCCAGTTTCACCTTAAATAAATGATTGTACAGAACCCCAAATGTGCTGGCGGGATCGAGAATCATGCTCTACATAGAGCTGTAAGAAGTAGCTATTCGCTGTGGTGCTCGTTCCTTCTAACTAGTATTTCCTGAGTATCTAAAGTATCTCTTTTTGTGACCTCTACAGCTTGCAGATCACTAAATCTTAATTCTGAAGGATGTAGAGATTCATAAATGTTGCTAAATGTTATTTGTGTTTTAATACACGTCTTGATAAAATGACAAATCAACCAAATCATCCCTTATACTTAAACCCTCTATTGGATCTGTGATATCAATAATATATTAATAGAGGAATTTGCTGATAACAAGCGCACTCTTTGTGGTTCTTTCCAATTAAATCATTTTTGCATTATGTATTCATTGATGAATAAAACATGCTTTAATTAATTGTTGTTGTTGGTAATGATATCGTGTAATATCTGCGGCCAGTTGGCAATGAGCTTAAAGCGGTAAATCTCTAAGGTGCCCGTGAGCAGCTATTAATGAATCAGTTTATCCATGTTTGCTGCCCTGCATTGCAGTGTTTATTGTGTCCGTTGGGAAATGGTTATAAATGAAAGGGTTACAAATAGTTCTAAAACACGTATTACACAATACGCATCCCTCTTCACCTTTCTTTATTTTCCCTTCATCCATTCTTTTCTCCTTCTGACAGTCCCCCTCTCTCTCTGACTCTGACAGTCTCTTTCTGATTGATGTGCTGTTGTCCTGGCCGTCTCTCTCTCTTTCTGAGTCTCACTCTCTTTCTGATACTGACATTCTTACTCTCTTTTTTTTATTTTGACACTTTCTCCCTCCCTGTCTCACACTCTTTCTAATTCTGACTCTCTCTCTCTCTTTAAATCTTGCTAACCATCATCACCTGATTTTGAAAGTTTCTCCTGACGATCTCTTTAACTCAGATTCTGATAGTGTCTCTCTCTGTTTCCGACAGTGTCTCCTAATGTCTAATTCTGTCTCTATTAATTCAGGAAACATGCCTAACATCTTGCTAAGTAAGTGGTTGAGACAGTTACAGGTAGTCTAGTAGCCCTTGTACTCCTGAATTACTTATGTGTCCCCAAAACGTCTGCTCGCAGCAAATCATCACAGGCAGCCTATTAAATGTATTAATTGTACTCCTTACTTTATGAGATTTTACCCCATTATGAACTTTTAACATATAGTGCGGTGACTGGGTTAAGAAAAGGCAATGACTCTTTAATTGACGTATTTGACGGATGGAGCTGTGCTGTACATATTGCATGTAACTACAATACGCAAATAGACAAGCAGTTACATTTTAACACAATATGGTCATATCCAGATATTGGCAATGAGATGTGGACTTGGGAGGTTAAAATCTTTTTTTTTTTAACATTTTTACAATTTATTTATTTAAGTCGCATGCATTTTATTTCCCCCTAAAATACAATGAGAACTAAAATGTATGAAAAGTCTTCACTTTACTCTGATACGCGCTGTTTTTGTGCACATTCACCATTTTCCCATTTATAGCCCTGCAACTCCGCCATTTATACACTGGTGCATTTTTTAAAATTTCCTTTTTTGTCATAATTTCTGCCTTTCAGACACTTTTTGTTTCTATTTCAGATTGTTTTTCTCTTATTTGCTACTTTTTGTCCAGATGATTTTACAACCAAGTATTGCCATAAAATAAAATGAGTGATATTGACATGGAAAATGGTGCTCTCTCAACTTGTTGATTCATTGAAACACAAAAGAAGGCAGTCAAAGCTGTCATAAAAAAACAACACTCAGACCATGGCGTAAAAATCTGTCTGAAGCAAAAGGCACATGTTTTAGCTTCCTTTTCAATACTGGAATTTATTAATGGATGGGAAAAAAATAATTTTCTGGTGGGCCGCGGCATCTGGGGGCTGCGCTGCGCATGTATGTGCCACCGGGTGGCCGGTGCAGTGACACACACTCTGAGGGGGCCGGTGGGCTGGTGGACGCATTCCACGCTGGAGCCGCCGGGCAGGGTGGCGGCCTCGCCGGTCCGGCGGCACTCCTGTCACTGATGCTGAGGAGTGAAGAGCATGTGTGACGGACCCGCTGGCACTCCGACCGAGTACCTCCGCCAATCGATGCTCCTAGTGCTTGCCGAGGACTCCAAGCACTCCAACCGACACCATCAGCACTGCAGACTTATCCCATCCCCCAAGCATGAGCCAAGGCTTCAAGAAAGGGTCAAGCAGGTCTGTTTAATGAGCACACAAAGCAACAGCACTCACGCAGCAAAAACAACTCCTCCTCAGAGGAAAACAAACTGACAGTTAAAGACAGACAGCGTTTGAAAATGTGACAGTTATTAAGGGTTTTTAAACTGGTGTTCTAGGAGGGAGGGGAATAAAACAGTCAAATAAGTCCATAAAACAGGGTTTTTCTTCACACTTTGCATCCGAAGTGCATAGCAAAACTGCAGATCCTTTGTCAGAGCATTTAAAGGGCCAGAACCAGTCTAATAAAATCCACTGTGCCCAAATAACGTATTTAAAGGGCAAAATCTTCCAGGGGCCATAGTCGCAGGGCAGGAGGCTCCAGGCCTCTCCAGGCACATGTGACAAAGGGCACTTCGTCACACATCTTCCCTCTGGGGGGGAGACTAACCAGGTACCTGACCTTCTGTCGGTCAGTACCTGAGTTAGTCGAGTAGCCCACCCACAATAAACATTTAACAGAGTAGCCCACCCACAATACACCATTACTGCACCTGGTGATTCCTGGTGTCCGGCTCTGGCCTGTATGTCCCAGGTTGCTGAGGGGAACCAGTGGACAGAGACCAGCGGCTCTCTGCCCGGATGCCAGCGCTTCTGCTGGGTTGGCCAGTGGGTATTCAGGTTCTGAACAAGAGGGCAAGGGGGGGCAGAAGCCGAACACGCTCTGACCGGATGCCAGCTCTTCTGCTGGAAGGGGGTCAGTGGAGGCTAACATCTTCTTCAATAAACCCAGTACCGGGTTAGGGGTTGGCTGTGAAGGGGAAGGGTCGCCTACCTCCTCCTCCTGGTACTCCTGCTGCCGCTGGGGAGCGAGCCAGGTTGCCGCCTCTCCCTGGGGCTCCAACTGCAGTTGGGGATCTGGGCCAGCTGCCCAGCATCCCTGTAGGGCCGGTAGAGAGACGTTGGTCCCATCTCCACCTGCCATTTGAGGTTCCTCACAGTGCCAGTCTACGAGATCACCCAGGACTTCGGAATAAGGACCACCTGCCTCCTCTCTCTGTAGCTCTGGCTGCAACTGGGGATCTGGGCCGGCTGCCCAGCATTCCTGTACTGTCGGTAGAGAGACCTCGGCTCCATCTCCACCTGCCATTTGAGGTTCCTCCCACTGCAAATCTATGAGATCCCCCAAGACTTGGGAATAGGGACCACCTGCCTCCTCTATCTGTAGCTCTGGCTGTAACTGGGGCTCTGGGCTGGCTGCCCAGCATCCCTGTAGGGCCGGTAGAGAGACCTCGGTCCCATCTCCACCTGCCATTTGAGGTTCCTCCCAGTGCAAGTCTATGAGGTCCCCCAAGACTTGGGAATAAGGACCACCTGCCTCCTCTGCCGGTAGCTCCAGGTGCAGTTGGGGATCTGGGCCGACTCCCCAGCATCCCTGTGGGGCCGGTAGAGAGACCTCTGTCCCATCTCCACGTGCCTGTTGGGGTTCCTCACAGGACCAGTCTATGAGGTCCCCTACTTCGGGAACCTCTGGCTGCCTCTGGGGAGAGAGGCTAACCTCCTTTCCTTGAAGGCTTCTTTTCCTTGCTTTAGCCAGCAGGAATTCTTGGTCCCTCTTTGCTTCTCTTTCAACGGTTACCTGGTTCCAGATCGCCTGGAAGGTATCCATGGACACATCAGGGCCATACCAGGCCACTCGTTGCCTCACCTCGGCCAGAAAATCTTCGCAAGAGTCAGAGTATGCCATACTTGCTTGCTCCAAGTCAATGGACACCTTTGCTTCCAGGGGGAGCTGCACGAATGCTAACGTTGCCCTCACTTTAATCACTACGTTATCAGTGTCTCTGAGCTGCTTCGCCTCACACTAGGACGCCATCCCACCGCTGCCACCAATTGAGACTTTCACCCAGCCTCCATTCCTTCAAAAAATCTTTGAAAACTCACTTCTTCATTAAAGCGTATCAATTAAACTGTCAGCAGGTTTCTCATCCCTCACCCCATGACTCCGTTCCTGCACCTGTCAAAAATGACCTACCAAGCATTTAATAAACCCTTCTGTAACAAACTATTTAATTCCCCTACTTTAACCCTTTGTGTCACTATACCCCACTCCCTCTAGCATGTAAGCTCATCGAGCAGGGTCCTCTGTTCCTGTACGTCAGTGGTCTGATCTCAATTATGTGTCTGTTAGTCCACCCATTGTACAGCGCTACGGAATTTGTTGGCGCTATATAAATAATAAAATAATAATAATAAAATAATTATATATAAAATAGTAATTGCATTTTGCGGTAGTTGTTCTATTTCAATGTGTTTTTGGTAATAAATATACCTTTCTTTTTATATAGAAAAAACAATTAGAGACATTGTTTTTATTTTGGGTAATGACAGGAGTGTATCAATATATACACTGGGAAAAGACAGAGAAGTTTTTCGTATATACGTAGATATTTTTAGACTCTTTTAATTACACTCAGACACCCTAGTCTCTTGTGACAAGTATTATTATTTTTGTCGCGAAAACAACATATACATTTGCAGTTAGCTCTGGCAGCTCTTTTCTTTTTGTTCTGAAAAAGAATAAATAAAAATAAATAAATATTAAATTATATAAAGATTTCCCATTCCAAATCAAACAGTATCGGTCATATTTAACAATGTCATCATGCAGTATTGCAGAATAATAAGCTACATCTAGTACAAAAATCACAGATATTTAGTGTGACGGACCGCCTGGCACCCCGACTGGGTATCACCAAGCTTGTTCCTAGCTCTCCTCTGGGACACAGGAGTGCTTCAGCACCTAGCTGCCGCAGCTTGGATCGGTTGTCTCCATCGATTCCCGCCCTGGAACAGGGTCCTAAGTACAGCTTTAAGTAATTAAGCTGTCCTGCAGAGAGTATAGCTGATCCACCCAAACACTATCCCAGATTGAGTGAAGGGTGTAGAGCAGGGGTTCTCAACGTTAGTCCTCAGGACCCCCTACCAGTCCAGGTTTTAGGGATTACCTGGGTGTGTCTAAGGTGTTTAGAAAAAGAAAAAAAAACACCTTAGAGTCTAAGGTTTTTTTTTCCCTTTTTCTAAACACCTGAGACACACCCAGGTAATCCCCAAATCCTGGACTGGTAGGGGGTCCTGAGGACTTGGTTGAGAACCCCTGGTGTAGAGGAACTGACTTATTATGGCCAAGTTAACTGCTTATATAGACAACCCCCAGCAGGGGGTCTCCACACAATACAATGCAACCCCCTCCCAAAGATCTCTGTATTTGGGAGATCATTGAGTTAAAGACTGGTAAGCTAATTATTTCCCAGGAACAGAGAGGCAAACCCAAAAATATAAAACATAAAAATACCACAAAACAGAATACAAATATACAATAACCCCACAAATAGTGCATCCCCTAAAAGCCCTGATCTGGGCACCCAAGTTCAGATCCATGCAGTCTAGGGGAAACGCCACCGTGTTAAAGTTCTGACCAGCTGCACACATGGTCCTATGCCCAAAACAGTTCCAGGGCGTTTGGTGCTTTGGCCGGTCAACTTTCAAGAGCTCATGCGGCCACAATACGGAGTGCTCCACCTGGGTCTCTGATAGCGTTTTTGCCCCTTAGTTTCATGCACCTTCCCTCCTAAAAGCTCTCTCCTGGCAGATTGCAAAGTCATTCAGAACCACGGACCAAGTTATCCGGGAGCCGCTCGGTCACTTCATGCCGAAAACAGCTCCATAACATTCTTGGCTAAGTACCGCTGAGGTGACCAGGGACCCACTAAGTCTTCAAGACAAATTTAGTTCCATAACGGTAGCGGCTAAGTACCGCTGAGGAGAATTTGTTGGTTTCTTAATGCGAACGGTTGCCAGGGAGCGAGTGTTCGGTTCCATTCGAATTCGAAATCCTGGACTGGTAGGGGGTACTTGTGGACTGGGTTGGGAACCCCTGATCTACCCAATTAGATTTACTTTACTCATCTCAACTTTTCTGTTTAAACCTAATTTTATTTATCTTTGTTCATTTCTTTATTTTCTCTCTTCTTTATTACAGAGTGTCTCTTCCCTTAAAACAACTTCATCTCAAGGAAGAGAAGAAAAGAGAAAGGTGAGGAATGAGGGAAAAGATGGAGAGATGAAGAGTGAGTGAGTAAGTATGGTGGACTGAAAGAGAGAGAGAAAGCAAGTGAGTATGGAGGACTGAGATAGAAAGAGAGACAGAGACAGAGAGAGAGAGTGAGTGGCGAGAAGTGAAGGTAAAGATGGAGAGAGCATTTCCCTACTTTATCACCATTCTCTTTCTTCCACCCCCCATCCACCCTCCAGATTTTTTCTTACCTATTTCCACCATCCATCTTTCTATCAGGAAGCAAAGAATTAAAATCTATCAGGATGTGGAATTTATATCACCCAAAGTTTGGGCCATTTTGTTCCTGGCATATTGGAAGGAAGCCAGGTCACTAGAATTCCAAACAGGACAACAGGACTCCTGCTGGACTACCAGGGATCAACGGGGATTGGGGGGAAGACAAGCAGATTGCAATACCGATTTCATGTTTTAATTACTCCCAGCTGTGATCAGGTGATGAAGGTAAAATCCCCCTTTTATCAAGCAATGGCTTGTGAAAGTAAATTTTCTGTCCATACCTGTGTCAGATGTACGTCAATGTCAATTAGTTCACCTAGGATATCACCGATAATTGCTATTACCACCATTCAATCAATAAATCATCCTTCTTGTTCAACTCTCATCAGGCTCAGCCATAACCCCTCCCCCACAAGAATCCTCCCTGTGATGTCCTAACCTGCAGGCCATGTCTGGTGAAAGAACAGACCTATTGCCAAATTAGAATCAATTAAACAAGTAACACCCAGCACTCCCAAGCAACCAAGTCCTGCTGAATCTTCAGAGCAGAGACTGGGCCCCTTTAAAACAGCATTAACACCCAGCACTCCCAAGCAACCAAGTCCTGCTGAATCTTCAGAGCAGAGACTGGGCCCCTTAAAACAGCATTAACCCCTTAAGGACTGGACTGTTTTTGCGATGTTGTACATTTGCGACCAGGAATATTTTTACACTTTTCTGGTGTTTGTGTTTGGCTGGAATTTTCCGCTTTCTCATTTACTGTTCCCATACAAATTATATATTGTTTTTTTCAGGACAAAAAGGGCTTTCTTTACATACCATTATTTATATAATCTCATGTATTTTAATTTTAAAAAAATATGATGAAAAATTGAAAAAAATACATGTTTTTTGACTTTTACTTGAAAAATCTTTTACTCATCTACAAAAGCGCATGAAAAAAACAGCTAAATAGATTCAAAATTTTGTCCTGAGTTTAAAAATACACAGTGTTTACGTCCTTTTTTGCTTTTTTTTGCAAGTTATAGGGCTATAGGTACAAGTAGGATATGGCGGTTTCAAAACAATTTTTTTTTAAATGTATCAATAGTGACATTGTAACACTATTATCTGTCATAAATCTCTGGAAAACACTCCACATGTATATATTTTTTTTAAAGTAGACAACCCAGGGTATTCATCTAAGGATATTTTGACACTTTCTATGCAGCCATTTTACCACAAGTCTTTGCCAAACTTTGCATAGATAGTTGTTTTTTTGTTTTTTTTTTCACATACATTGCAATTCAGGTATAAACTTACAGATCCTGTTATGTCTTGCTGCCAAACAACACGCCAATATGTGTTCAGCAACATCTCCTGAGTACAGTGATACCACCCATGCATAGGCTTGTCGGATTGTTTGGGGCTAAAAGGCCACATTTGGCAGGTGCGCATATCCATTTTTCAACTTGGAATTTTGACATGTAGTCAACCTGCGCACATGTCCTATTTGGGACATTTGTAAGGCCGGCCAATGTATTTTACCCCCACCAAACCATATATTTTTGGAAAGTAGACACCCTAGGGTATTTCAAATGGTGGTTTTTTAACACTTTCCATGCACTAATTCTACCACCAGACATTGTCAAACATTTAGGTAGTCATTTTTTGTGTGTTTTTTTTCACACACATTGTACTTTAGGCATGAATTAACAAATCGTGTTATGTGTCACTGCCAAACAACACGCCAATATGTGTTCAGCAACATCTCCTGAGTACAGTGATACCACCCATGCATAGGCTTGTCGGATTGTTTGGGGGCTAAAAGGCCACATTTGGCAGGTGCGCATATCCATTTTTCAACTTGGAATTTTGACATGTAGTAAACCAGCGCCCCTGTTCTATTTGGGCCAATGTATTTTACCCCCATCAAACCATATATTTTTGAAAAGTAGACAACTCAGGGTATTTTAAATGGTGGTAGTTTAATACTTTTCATGCAATAATTCTACCACCAGCCTTTGGCAAACTTTTGGGTAGTAATTTTCTTCATGTTTTTTTACACATACATTGTACTTTAGGCATGAATTAACAGATCCTGTTATGTATCACTGCCAAACAACACCCCAATATGTGTTCAGCAACATCTCCTGAGTACAGTGACATCACCCATGCATAGGTTTGCTGGGTTGTTTGGGGGCTAAAAGGCCACATTCAAGACTTGTACATATCAGTTTTTCAACTTGATATATAGGTATGCTTGGCCTATCTTCAGTTTGGCATATTTTTGCATCCCCCCGTTAATGTTAACATCATGAAAGTTTATATTTTTATAAAGTAGACATTCCAGAGTATTGTATATGAGGTGTTTTCACATCCTTCCCCCAACCATTGTGCTAAACAAATTTCAGAGAACGTGCATGGTGGTAATTTTTTAATTCTGCTTTTTATGCACACGTCATCTGGTTTTGGCCAGCCAGTTATATGTTACTACCATAAAACTTTTTTAACCAAATGTGCAGGTATCAAATGCACCTTTAGCAGCATTCTCTAAACTAACTCCTGCAAAAAGAATCTAATTGGAGATTTGGGGGGAAGGAAACTGACTAACTAAAATTTGCTGTTTTCAAAAGAAAAAAAAAACAGTGCAAAGGGGTGTCTGTCCTTTTCCTTTTTTTATAACAGACCCAGCAACATTTCAGGGGATTTGTTTTTTTTTTGCAGTTGGCGGTATCTTAAAAATAAAATGTCTGGACTCCTTTGGCACCGTTGTTGGAACTTGACCATCTCCATAAATTATTGTGGAAATCAGCTTGAACTAAAATTGGAGAAAGGTGGTTCTTTCTGAATTCATTTTTTTTTAAAGAGTAAAAATTAATTATGTGTTGCTACTTGCATCAGGTAGATAGCCACCTTTTTATACCAGGCTTTTGTCTTTCTTAAGATAAGATATGGCTGCATCAGCTGATCAGCCAAATCAACACCCCCCATGTGCCTGTTATAAGCCCTGATGCACACCGGTTTTGTCTGTACCCTGCCTCGGACAGTGACGTCTGACATGCCCTCGTTATGGATGGTTGTTAGCATGTGAACATCCTTCCTGTCCTTAAATTTTATTGCAAGCACTTTAGCTTTGTGCAGACCTTTACATTCACTTTTTTTTTTTTTTTGGCCTCTATAAAAGGTCTGGGGAAATCCTTGGCATATCTTCTCACACTGCCACAGGCCAGTATCTAGAAACCCTAAAGAGTTTGAAACAAACGGACAATGCTATAAAAATTGTCCACATAAAGGTGGTAACCCTTATTGAACAAGGGGATCAGTAAGTCAAAAACAAGTTTCCCGCTTGTCCCCAGAGAGTCAGTACAGCCAGGAGGGTCCAGTTGACCATCTTTCCCCTCATATATACGAAAGGCAAATGTATAGCCACTTTCGCTCTCGCACAGTTTGTAGAATTTTACGCCATACCTAAAGCGCTTTGAGAGGATGTATTGTTTGAATCCTAATCTCCCTTTATATTTCATTAACGATTCATCAATAGATACATTTTTTTGAGGAGTATAAACTTCAGTAAATTTGTGCTGAAGATGGTCTACCAGTGGGTGTATTTTATGAAGCCTATCATATTGGGTGTGATCTCTGCGGTGACAGAGGGTATTGTCATTGAAATGTAAGTATCTCAGCAGCAGCTCAAATCTTGTTCTAGACATGGTTTGAGAGTACACTCGACTAGAACAGATTGGGTTGGTGCTCCAGTAAGAGCAAATTGATGGCTTCTTTATAATCCCCATGAGAATTGTAAGAGCCCAGAATTTTTTAAGTTCAGCGACATCTGTGGGATGCCAAGCACACTCCTCCCTGACTGCATAGCTATCTGGATTGGTATCAATAAATTGGGTAGCATATAAATTAGTCTGGGGAGCAATCTCCTCCCACATGGTATCCCCTAAAAATAGCTCCATATATTGCATAGAGGAGAAGTCATCCACATTGACATTAATGCCTGTGTTGGCACTAAAAGGGGTGATTTGGGGCTCAGCTAACTGTGGAGAAACCTGTTCCTCCTCCACATTCGGCGTAGCAGAGAAAGCACAGCTTCTTTTGCAGCCAGCTCACACACAGATGACATGTCAGAAAACTGACCTGGGTCAAAATCGGACGCAGTGTCAGTGGCGTCAGAGTCTGGCTAACACAGAGTTACTAACACACAATTTTTTTTATTTTATACTAAAAACAGACTAAAACTGATAAAAACAGACTAAATGAGACTAAAACTTCTGTTAGCAGCAATCTGTAAACTAACTCCTGCAAAAAGAATCTAACTGGAGATTTGGGGGAAGGATACTGACTAACAGAAATTTGCTGCTTTCAAAATAAACAAAAAAAATAAATCAGGAACAAGTATTATAAAAATGTATTTTCTGTGTGGTAGACCTTAAAACATGCTCCAATACACAGTCCAGGTTTTGTAGGGCAATCGGGACAGTGAAAAGGGGTGTCTGTCCTTTTCCCTTTTTATAACAGACCCGGCAACGTTTCTGGGGGTTTCTTTTTTTTGGTGTTGGCGGTATCTTAAAAATAAAATGTCTAGACGACTCTTGCACTGTCGTTGGAACTTGACCATCTCCATAAATTATTGTGGAAATCAGCTTGAGCTGAAATTGGAGATAGGTGGTTCTTCCTGGATTAATTTTTTTAAAAAGTAAAAATTAATTATGTGTTGCTACTTGCAACAGGTAGATAGCCACCTTTTTATACCAGGCTTTTGTCTTTCTTAAGATAAGATAAGGCTGCATCAGCTGATCAGCCAAATCAACACCCCCCATGTGCCTGTTATAAGCCCTGATGCACACCGGTTTTGTCTGTACCCTGCCTCGGACAATGACGTCTGACATGGCCTCGTTATGGATGGTTGTTATCATGTGAACATCCTTCCTGTCCTTAAATTTTAGCGCAAGCAGTTCAGCCTTGCGCAGAGCTTTGCATTCCCCTTTTTTTAATTTGGCCTCTATGAGAGGTCTGGGAAAATCCTTGGCATTTCTTCTTAGAGTGCCGCAGGCCAGTGTCTGTAAACTATAAAGAATTTTAAACAAGTGGACACTGCTGTAAAAATTGTCCACATAAAGGTGGTAACCCTTATTGAACAAAGGGTTCAGTAGGTCCCAAACAAGTTTCCCAGTTGTCCCCAGAGAGTCAGGACAGCCAGGAGGGTTCAGTTGAGCATCTTTCCCCTCGTATACACGGAAGGCAAATGTGTAGCCACTTTCGCTCTCGCAAAGTTTGTACACTTTAATGCCATACCTAGACCGCTTTGAGGGGATATATTGTTTGAACCCTAATCTCCCTTTGTATTTCATAAGGGATTCATCGATAGATAAAGTTTGTTGGGGAGTATAAACTTCAGAAAATCTGTTCTGAAGATGGTCTACCAGTGGGCGTATTTTATAAAGCCTATCATATTCGGGGTGATCTCTGGGGTGACAGAGCGTATTGTCGTTAAAATGTAAGTATCTGAGCAGCAGCTCATATCTTGGTCTAGGCATTGTTTGGGAGAATATAGGAGTCGAACAAATTGGGTTGGTGCTCCAGTAAGACCGGATTGATGGCTTTTTTATTATCCCCATGAGCATGGTAAGAGCCCAGAATGTTTTAAGTTCAGGGACATCTGTGGGATGCCAAGCATGCTCCCTGACTGTATAGCTACCTGGATTGGTCTCAATAAATTGGCTAGCGTATAAATTAGTCTGGGAAGCAATCTCCTCCCAGATGGTATCCCCTAAAAATAACTCCATATATTGTATAGGGGAGAAGTCAACCACATTCACATTAATGCCTGCGTTGGCACTAAAAGGGGGGATGTTGGGCTCAGCTAACTGTGGAGGTACCCAGTCCTCCTCCACATTCAGCGTAGCAGGGGAAGCACAGCTTCTTTTAGCAGCTGGCTCACACACAGATGACATGTCACTAGACGTGCCGCTAAACTGACCTGGGTCAAAATCGGACGCAGTGTCAGTGGCGTCAGAGTCTGACGCCAAGAAGGCATATGCCTCCTCCAAGCTGTACATGCGCTGCATGTTTCACACCAACAGACTAAACTAACAAAATACTAAACACAATATTTTTTTTAAAAACACTAAAACAGACTAAAACAGACTAAAACAGTAATCCCTAAACTAACTCCTGTTAGAAGAATCTAATGGAGATTTGGGGGAAGGAAACTGACTGACTACGACAGGCTATGACAGACTATGACAGACTAAAACAGACTACGACAGACTAAAACAGACTAAAACAGACTACGACAGTCTAAGACAGTCTAAGACAGTCTAAGACAGTCTTTTTTTAAAATAAAGTTAACCCTTAAGGGCAAAAAAAAAAAATACAGACAGTAAAAATGCACTGTCTGTAACAGATCTGGCAGGGAAGGGGTTAAAATAGGATTTTTATTAACTGAAGATACTTTTTAATTTTCACAGGAACAGCTGCTGCAACAAACTATCAGGATCTCTGTCTCTCTCCTCTCACAAAACGCTACAGAGAGGAGAGAGGCAGAGATCAGTGTCAAAGTGAGTGTAACACCCACTTTGACACCAGCCAATTGTGAGTGATCGCGGATCGCTCACACGCCGAAATTGGCTGTTACTATCTGCCTGGGATGCCGGGCAGATAGTAACAACGGGATTTCAGCGGAAGCGATCTCTGATCGCTCCCGCAGCCCGTTTTCCGTTAGGACGGTTCAGGACCGTCCTCGGTCGGCAACGCAAAAATGCAGAGGACGGTCCTGAACCGTCATGCGTCCTTAAGGGGTTAACACCCAGCACTCCCAAGCAACCAAGTCCTGCTGAATCTTCAGAGCAGAGGTATTATCTCTGGAAGATCAACTCAAGAATACCTGCATTACTGTTTCCTTTAAACTCTTATTTTCAAACGGTGTTCTATTCCATCTCCCTCCCTATACTATCACTACTCAATTGATAACTATATCTCCCATCCTGATCTTCTTCTGTTTTTGTTTTTCTTAAGGCTGGTATGATCATGTCAATTTATGTTCATTCTCTTAGACTCTTTGTTAATTGTTTGTTTGTTTAGCTAGTGTTACTACTCTCACTGATAATATAGTAAATTTATGTTCATGGTTTATGACTTTCACCTATCTGATCCTTCCTATCTTTTTATCCCAAATGTTCTCTCCTTTTAGTTTTTCATCTCTAATTAATGACCTCAATAGCCCCATGTCTCCCCACCCATAACAGTGTGTTTTATTTCATTTTTTTTCTAACCCAGACCTTATATTTCAGACTGGGCCCCTTAAAACAGCATTAACACCCAGCACTCCCAAGCAACCAAGTCCTGCTGAATTGTAGCGGAGTAGTGGTCTTATCCACGGTATCTCCGCTGGTAGACAGGATGAAGCAGGTAAAATGTAGGTAAAATGCAAGTAGCGTAGTTACACTCCTTTTCTCCTAAGAACTAGACGACACATAGCTTGGAGGTTTAAACACTGGCATCTCACCAGGCTGAGTCAAACTCTTTAATGAATACAGTTTCCTTTAAGCACAGACCTCCGCAGGGGGGTCTGCATTCCACACAACACATTTCCCTTAGTCCCAGGCAGGAGGGGGTTGGGTTACAGATAGCCATCTCCCGCCTTAGGAGATACCAAACAGTACACAGGGATACACTTTACATCATATTACATTCAGGGGGGGTTACACTTTAAGTGGCTGGTTTGGCCACAGATAGGAATAGCAATGCAGTAATAGCAAGATATATACAAGGACATTCTGTAAGTGGCTAGGTTTGCCACAATGCTCCCCCAGAACCAAGCCGGCATACACAGTCTGATCCCAACGGATCGGCTTGGGGATGTCCGGAGGAGTACTCACAGATCACTTTTCAAGTTCAGTTTGTCTGGATAACCCATCGGCGTTGCCATTTTGCTTCCCAGGGCGGTAGTGGATGGTAAAGTCAAAAGGCTGCAGCGCCAAACTCCAGCGCAGCAGCCTGGCATTGTCTCCTGACACCCGGTTCAGCCACACCAACGGGTTGTGATCTGTGAGTAGTGAGAATGGTTGTCCGTACAAATAGGGCTGCAGCTTCTTGAGGGCCCACACCACGGCCAGGCATTCCTTTTCGATGGCGGCGTAGCTTACTTCCCGGGGTAATAGTTTTCTGCTTAAGTAAGCCACTGGATGCTCGCCGCCATCTGCTCCGACTTGGCTCAGTACTGCCCCCAATCCAAACATAGAGGCGTCTGTATGGACAAGAAAACGTTTAGTTGGATCAGGAGCAGCAAGTATAGGTGCGTTAACAAGAGCAGTTTTTAGTTGCTGGAATGCCCGTTCACACTCTGGGGCCCATACTACTAACTTAGGGAGGTTTTTGCGGGTTAAATCCGTGAGGGGTTTGGCCAGTGTGCTGTAATCGGGCACAAACTTCCGATAGTACCCTGCGGTACCTAAGAACGCCAGGACCTGGGTTTTGGTACGGGGGGTTGGCCATTTGGCTATGGCCTCTACCTTGGCGGGTTCTGGCTTTTGCTGGCCGCTTCCTACCCGGTGCCCTAAATACTGAACTTCGGCCATCCCTATATGGCACTTACTGGGTTTAAGGGTTAACCCTGCCTCCCTAATGCGGTCTAGTACGGCTCCTATATGGGTCAGATGTTCGTGCCAGGAGCAGCTGAAGATGGCGATATCATCTAGATATGCGCATGCATACTCCTTAAACCCATCCAATAACCTGTCTACCATCCTCTGGAAGGTAGCTGGGGCATTTTTCATCCCGAATGGCATAACCTTAAACTGGTACAGGCCAAACGGGGTGACAAAGGCTGACTTGGGAATAGCGTCTTCTGCTAACGGAATTTGCCAGTACCCCTTACACAGATCTATCGTGGTGAGGTACTGGCCCCTGGCCATTTTGTCTAAGAGCTCGTCTATCCGGGGCATGGGATAAGCGTCTGAGGTCGTTTTGTCATTGAGCCGCCGGTAGTCTACACAGAAACGGGTCGTCCCGTCCCGTTTCGGTACTAGTACTACCGGGGAGGCCCAGGGGCTGTCGGAGTGCTCTATCACTCCTAACTGAAGCATTTCCTCAATTTCCTTGCGCATATTTTCTTTGACGGCTTCAGGTATGCGGTAGGGAGTTTGGCGAAGAGGGGTCTGATCTAAGGTTTCCACCTTGTGCGTGGCTAACGGGGTATAGCCGGGTAAATTGGAAAACGTGGCTCCCTTCTCCTGGAGCAACCTTTGTACTTGGGTTCGCTCCTGGGGATTTAATCGCTCTCCTAACTGTACTTCTCCCAGATCTCCGCTCTGGCCCTCTTGGTCTAGGAGATCTGGGAGGGGTAGATTATCAAAATCCTCAGTGGCAGGGGCACAGATTGCGGTCACCTCCTCAGTGCGCTCGTGGTACGGCTTGAGCATGTTCACATGTAGCATGCGTTTGCCTCCCGCCCCTGTGACCGGGCCGATCACATAGGTGGTGTCACAGATCTGTTCCACCACCTTGTATGGGCCCTGCCAGGAAGCCTGCAGCTTATCTTTGTGGACTGGTCGCAAGATCAGTACTTTTTGCCCTACCTGAAAGCTGCGGTCCCTGGCTCCCCTATCATACCATCTGCGCTGTCGTTGCTGAGCTACCTGGAGATTGTCTCGGACAGTCTGGGTCAGCATCTCCAGGCGTTCTCTGAACTCGAGCACATAGGGTATGATAGGGGTGCCCTCAATGGTCTCTTCTCCCTCCCAGTGTTCGCGTATCAAGTCAAGGGGTCCCCTCACTCTCCTTCCGAATAGCAATTCGAATGGAGAGAATCCGGTGGATTCTTGGGGCACCTCCCGATATGCAAACAGTAAGTGGGGTAAAAACCTTTCCCAGTCCTTCTGGGTGTCCATGAACGTACGGATCATCTGTTTAAGTGTTCCGTTAAACCGTTCACAGAGTCCATTGGACTGGGGGTGATATGCAGAGTTCAGGATTTGCTGTACCCCACATATCTTCCAGAGCTGATGTGTTACCTCAGCGGTAAACTGAGTGCCCCTATCCGAAATAATCTCCCGGGGGAATCCTACCCGGGCGAATATTCGCATCAAGGCCTCGGCTACTGTTTCAGCATGGACATTGGTTAACGCCACTGCCTCTGGGTATCTGGTGGCGTAATCCACCACGGTCAAGACATATTTCTTGCCGGACGGGCTGGGCTTTGCTAAAGGCCCTATGATGTCTATGGCCACCCTTCTGAAGGGTTCCTCAATTATGGGCAGGGACCGGAGCCGTGCTTTGTATCGGTCTCCTCTCTTCCCTACCCTTTGGCAGGTATCACAGGTCTGGCAATATCGCCTAATGTCCTGTGAAATACCTGGCCAAAAGAAGTTTTGGGTCAGCCTGTGCTTAGTACGGCTGATCCCTAAGTGCCCAGACAGGGGGATATCATGAGCGATACGTAATAACTCTAACCTATATTTCCGAGGCACTATTAGTTGCTTAACGAGTAAAGGTATAGATCCGGACACTACCTTTTCTGCGTGTCGGTACCGTAGTCCTTTGTCCCAGATATACCTTTCCCCTTCTAATCCTGCCTGATCTCTATCAATACGGTCTTTGTATACCTGTAGGGAGGGGTCTAGGGCCACTTCTGATCCAAACTCTAAGGGGTTAGCCCATGGCATGACAGTGGGCATGGGGGGGTCATTGCTTACCTGAGCCTCAGAGTGGTTGGATGGTGCTGTGGTGCGAGCCTGTTGCCGGGTCACAACCGGATATGCCTCCTGTACGGTGGGCTGTGGAACAAATGCGGACGTCAGCTCCCCCAAGTCGTTGCCCAAAATCACATCAGCTGGCAAGTCCTGCATCATCCCCACATACAGGTTCCCGTGCCCCGCTCCCCAATTCAAGTGTACCTTGGCCGTAGGTACTTTGTAAATGGCTCCTCCTGCCACCCGTACCGCAACACAGTTTCCAGTGAGATTGGGTTTGGGTACCAAATGACTTCGGACTAAGGTTAAGGTAGCCCCAGAGTCAAGAAGTCCTTGTATCTTTCTCCCCTCCAGGTGCACCTCCTGGCGGTGCCCTTGTCGGTTATCGGAGGCGGCCTGGATGGGGTTCACCTCGTGCAGGGTTCCTAGCGGTTCTTCTAGGGTTGCTCCTGTCTCTGGGATCTGGTATGGTTCGGCCTGTATGCAGTGTATGGCCGCTCTGTTACTCGGTGCTGCGTTATTCCAGCTGGGCCTAGATCGATTACGTGGACAGTCCCTCTGAATGTGCCCTTGTTGATTGCAGGTGTGGCACCTAATTGGCGGACGTGCCGAGTACCTGGGGGGGTAGGTATTTTGACTTACCCCAGGTCGTGGTTGAGTCATGGGGCCCCCTGCGGTGCTCGCCGGTGCAGAGGTGGATGTTGGTCGGGGCTCTGTGGGCTGATCTCTCCGGTTATCCTGAAACTCATCTGCCAGCTTAGCAGCCTCCTGCAGGGTGTGTGGTTTTCGGTCCCTGATCCAATTTTGTAGGTAGGCAGGGATCCCGTTGAAGAACTGCTCTAGGACCATCAGTTGGAACAGACCCTCCAGCGTGTTAACTTGGGTGGCTTCCAACCACCCCGTTGCAGCTCACTGTAGCTGATGTGCCCATTCAACATGAGTGTCCTTTGTGGGTTTTTTAATGTCCCGGAACTTCATGCAGTAGGCCTCTGAAGTGATCGCGTACCGGGCTAAAATCGCATGTTTCACTTTGTTATAGTCCCTACTGTCTTCATCCGGTACTGCCCGGTACGCTTCTGCAGCGCGACCAGATAACCTCCCTGCTAGTAGGGGTACCCGATCCGCCTCTCTGATGTCATGTAGTAAACACAGCCTCTCAAAGTCCTGTAAGTAGTCATCCACGCCACCGTCAGCCTCTGCATAGCTTTTGAAGGCTTGGTAGGGAATCTTAACTTTCCCTGTGAGAACATTGACCGGTGTCGTGGCTCTTTCTCCTGCTTGCTGATTCCTCTGCACCCTTCCGAGCATGATATATTCCTGTACATCTGCGAAGAGCCTGCTGACCATCTCTGCAGATGGTGGCTCTGGGAATAGAGCCATTCTGATTCTGAATTCTTTTGCAAATTCACTTTGTTCTTCCTCCATTGGAGGTGCTGCAGCAGCTG